ACCAGGATGAAGATATGATGGTCAGGAGGTCGGAATGGACTACGAAAACAAGCACGGTGTGACATTCAGTGGCGTCAATGGTATTTCTCCAAGACGTAAACACAAATGTCTGCCAAAAGACTGTATCTACCAGGCCTTTAGTATATAGTTAAACAAAGGCAGTGTTTTAAAATTTAACATTGTTTTTAGCTAAATTAACAGACTTGTGATCATCCTCACATGAACTAGATTCGAGAAACACTTTGTATTATTTTTGAATTACAGAATTTATATATGCATGGCCTGAGACACTGGGAAAGGCTCCAGCATTCCTGCAACCCCACAGACAACGTATATTATAACTAATATATATATATATATATATATGCTACAATATTTCCAGCAGTTAATAAAAAAAAGTGGTGTTATGTGACATTAAACAATGGTAGTGGAAGAACAATATCAGTATGAAATATCATCTGAAAAACTATGCAATCTTAGCAGACCATTTACGTAATGATACAGTGGCTGTACAGTAGCCCAAGCTGACCAGATCACATCAGAAGGAACGGACCACATTGCCAAAAATCTTACATTATAATGACCAGGTATGATGCATATGATCATGCTAATCACCACAACATAAATTCTCATTTCTGGATTTAAAACTCTACATATGAATGAAATCACACAAAGGGAAAGAGGTAGAAAGCTCTGGCTACTAAACCAAGCGTATGTTCCATAAACTGTATTCTATTTTTAATTTTACGCTTTCCAGGCCACGTTGTTATAACTTAAATGAGACGGTTTATCTGCAAGACATTAAAATACAAACTCTTAAAAATGATCAATTAATGGAATTGGCACGATTTAAAAACGGAAATAATACAGAGATCTGTTTTTATACAGTCTATGACAGAGACTCAAAGAGAGGTTTCATTAGAAGCAGCACATTAACAGCAGGTGTTTAATGCTAACATATGGTTCAACGATGCTGCAAATTAAGCCCAGGCAAGTTAAATATATAATTACAGACATTCTTATTGACTAAAAAAATAAATACACACATACATACATACATACATACACACATACACACATACACACATACATACACACATACACACATACATACATACATACATACATACATACATACACACACACATACACACACACATACACACATACATACATACATACATACACACATACACACATACACACATACATACACACATACACACATACATACATACATACATACATACATACACACACACATACACACACACATACACACATACATACATACATACATACATACACACACACATACACACATACACACATACATACATACACACATACACACATACACACATACATACA